CAGGTATGATCAAAATTTTTATATATACCAACAATCATTTTAGTACACATGTTCCAATTGACTTTAAAAAGCGTATAAATATAAAACATATACAAATATTTTGCTATGCACTAATATATTAGTCATGTTAAAATTTTTACTTTAACAAAGAAAATATATTAACTATTTTGTTCATAATGATTTTAAGTTTTACTATGAAAATACAAAATTTATAGGTGAAACTAAAAGATAAAGAATTCTTTTCTTTTACCAAAACTTAATGTCAATAATTCAGAGGAAAAGGTATTAGTACTCGTTAATTAGTTTTTTTAAATATTTATTATAAATCAAATATAACACAATATTTGTAAACACATAGTACGATTTACGAATATATCTGTTCTTGTACTTCATGGATATACTCTTATTATTAGGAAAATCTTGTAGAAGCAAAACATCACAAGTTGGCTCGAAGTTTACGGAGTGGTGGTCATACTCGAGAATTAAAACCAACTTCAAGTGTTCGTGATGCTTTGAACATAATATTAAGTTATCCACCAACAACAGCACTTTCTACAGAAGAACAAGATCTTATTTGGAAATACAGATTTTATTTATCAAATCAAAAAAAAGCTTTAACAAAATTCGTAAAATGTGTAAATTGGAAAGTTGCTGGAGAAGAACGACAAGCATTAGAAATGTTAGCATTGTGGGCACCACCTGATCCTGAAGATGCATTAGAGTTACTTGGTCCAGCATTTACACATCCAACTGTTAGAAGATATGCTATTACTCGTCTTAATCAAGCACCTGATGATGACTTAATGTTATATTTATTGCAATTAGTACAAGCTTTAAAGTATGAAGATTTTGAAAGTATTAAAAGGGCACATCAAATATTGATGACAGAAAAAGAATCTGAAAAAGTTGAAAAATTAGACAGAGATGTACAAATTAATGACTCTTCATCTACAGCTGTAACAACTGTAAGTAACTTTATAAAATAAACATTAAATTCCTAATTTATTACAAATAGCACACATGATTTGCAGTCCAGTGAATCTGAAATTCAGTTCTCAACAAGTCAAGATTCTCTTATGGATTTAGCATCTTTTTTGATTACTCGTGCATGTCAAAATACTACACTAGCCAATTACTTTTATTGGTATCTTTCAATTGAATGTGAAGATCAAAGTGATCCCTCCATAAGTGCAAAACAAGATACACGTGTCAAAGAAATGTATAATACTGTAATGTCAATGTTTTCAATGATGCTGGCACAAGGCAATGCAGTTTGGCAAAAAAGAAGAGCTTTCCTTTTACGTCAAAAAATGTTCATTGATCAATTAGTAGCACTGGTGAAAGCAATTGCACGAGAAAGTGGAAATCGTAAGAAGAAGACTGATCGGCTCAGGGTGTTATTAGCAGATTCAGATCCAACATTTAAAATCAATTTTTCGAACTTTGAACCAATACCTTTTCCTCTGGATCCAGAAATTTGTATCAAAGGAATTATACCTGAAAAGTATGAATAATTCCATTCATATAATAATGAAAACTTATTCGTTAATAATTTAAGCTATTTTTTAGGGCCAGTCTTTTTAAATCAGCTCTTATGCCTTCCAAACTAACGTTTTTAACAACAGATAACAGTGAGTACATTGCAATTTTTAAACATGGTGATGACCTTAGACAGGATCAATTAATTTTACAAACAATTGCACTTATGGATAAATTATTAAGAAGAGAAAATTTGGATTTAAAATTGACTCCTTACAGGTAAAAATTTTGATAACTGATTATTTAAAATATAATTTGATTATTTAAAATATAAATTTATTTATTTTTAGGGTACTCGCAACAAGTACTCGACATGGTTTTTTGCAATTTATCGAATCTACAACAGTTGCAGAAGTATTAGCTAGTGAAGGTTCCATATTAAGCTTTTTTCGAAAACATCATCCATCCGAAAATGGTCCTTATGGTGTTGTACCTGAAGTTATGGATACTTATGTTCGAAGTTGTGGTAAGAAATATGTTATTTTAAAATAATTTATATTAATTTGAAATGTATAAAATCGTAAAATTTCAGCTGGTTACTGCATTATTACATATGTTCTTGGTGTTGGTGATCGACATTTGGATAATTTACTACTGACAACGTCAGGTAACTTTTAAAGCATAAAAGATAAAAGCATTTAATAAAATTGCGTGATATTCTTATTTCAGGCAAACTCTTCCATATAGATTTCGGCTATATTTTGGGTAGAGATCCAAAACCTTTGCCACCACCAATGAAATTGAGCAAAGAAATGGTTGAAGCTATGGGAGGTGTAGGTTCAGAACATTATCATGAATTTCGGAAACAATGTTATACTGCATTTTTGCATTTGCGCAGACATGCAAATTTAATTCTAAATCTGTTTTCGCTAATGGTCGACGCTAGCGTTCCAGATATAGCATTAGAACCAGATAAAGCTGTTAAAAAAGTTCAAGACAAACTACGATTGGATTTGAGCGACGAAGAAGCAGTGCATTATGTACATAATCTTTTAGACTTATCAGTAACAGCTGTAATGGCAGTATTAGTGGAACAATTACATAAGTTTGCACAATACTGGCGAAAATAAAACTAAATCAATCAAGATAATGATTGTAAAGACTGTGTTCCTTTAAAACTATTGCAAATATTACTATATTGTATATAAATGACCATACATCTATAAATGTAATATAATTTATTGTATTTTGGGATTATTTTAGGTAATAAATCTTTGATAATAATAACAAATAATTGTAGTTTTTATACGTTTGTAAATTGCATACAAAAATGTTTAATAATTAACATGTCATGCGATCACAATAATAAAAAAATTTGTTACTGCATAATATTACGTATGTAAACTATACATGTTAACGATAATTCTTAACAATTTTCGTAAAATACAGTTTAACATACAATAGAAATATTGCTTGATAGTTTTTTTTACGAAAGTACATTAAAAGAAATATTAAATATATATTTTACAGGCAAAAATGTATTGTAATGGGATAATTCCAAGTAATAAAACAACAAAAAACATTTATTGCATATATAATTTGTTACGTAAATATTCATGTATTTATTTTATCTCTTAGTTACAATCGTGTATGTGGTGCACACTGTAGAAATAAAAAGATAATATTGTTAGTGATGGAAATATCAAATTGTTATCCATATAAGAACGCAGTAATGCTATTTTAATCAGTATCACTTTACGCCACGTAAATTTGATTACTTCAATGAAGCAATATATCCCAACTTACGATTGTATCAGAAAATTTTAATAGAAAATGTAATTATATTTTCCCCATTTCACAGTATTACATACTATTTATAGGTACAGATATTTTTATAATTCCTTTGTGTGGAAAATATATGTACATGTGTATTTATGTATATATCGAATGAATTCAAAAAGCAATCAAAGAATATTAACAATTCAGTCCATTTTTGAAAATTTATCTGGCTAAACTTTTTTTTTTCCAAGTGTGACATATTTAGGTAATAACTTCTTTCCAGTAACAGTAACATAATATATACATGCGTGATCACGATCGAAAACGCCGCGAAAAATAAAAACAAATTTATTTTTGATAACATGAGTTTATAAAGAATATAATATAACCGTTTTTATTAGAATATATTGGCAAATCTGTCTCGTTTGAGACTTATATAGTTTTTTAAAAAAATTTACTCTAAATTACACCAGAAAAACTATTAAAACGCGTATTCATGTATTACATTTATGCACATGTATAAATTTGTTTACATGTAAAATTGCGATATGTAATCGCAAATATTTTACAGAAATAAAATGATCTTGTTTATAATAAATCCTTCCTATTAATTATATGAATATTTGTTTTAAAATTACTCCCCTGTAAGTATTAACTGATTTCAAACATGACAGATCTCCTATTAAATTCTTTTACCCTTTACATTTCAACACACGAATTACACATTATTATAATTGAAATAATAGGCTTCTTTATTTCTCATAAATGTAAACTATTTCCTACAAATAAACAATGTATGTGTAATAATTCAATCCTTGATTCGCTTGATTATCTACATTTGTGATTATACATAAACTTCTTTCTTAGTAGATAGACTATGAGTGCGGGGGTGAAAAACTTATCAGAAAAATTAAGTCTTTAAAAGATAGTCCAAGGAATCGTTTACTTCAATTTTACGAATATTTCAGAGCTTTACTGATACTTATTAAAGATATATTGTGCATTTATTTTTATATGCTCATTATGACTCATCATTGCAGAGGAGTAGTAAGCAGTAGTTTACTTTTGTAACACTAACTTGATTCTTCAATTGTCTTTGATGAGAATTCGTAATAATGTACAAATATTTTACAATAGTTATATATTTGCTGATTTAATGTAATCATTAAATAAATGATTAATAGCACAAATGTATTTTTGCTGTAAAATTATTACTACTACTCCAATGATGTTTTATCAAATTTTACGAAATCCACATTGGATGTGCTTTGTATTGGAAAAGGTAGAATCAATTTGTTACATAATATAGTATTAATGTGTCCAGTTAAAAGAAAAAGAAAGAAGTTATGAATGATAATCTAATTCAATATATTGAAGTACTTATATTATTTCAATATATTAAACGAGATGAATATATAAGATCATAATGCTTTTGTAATGAAACCATAGTTTTTCCTTGTAATTACACTGCTCACATACCAAATTCTATATACGGATTGTATCCGTAGTTAATATATATATATACATATACTCACACACATTGTAACAATATGTATGTGTACACATATATACACACATATATTTAGACATGTATATTTATTTATTTATTTATTTATTTATATATATATTTATATAGATATAAATTATAGTAAGAATCTAATTTTAATCTTATATTTAATCACTTATCACCTTAATATTATATTTACATTTGAAAATAGACGAGTTTATCTATCAATGGCTGCAATGTCCATTAGTCTATGAAAACAAGGACTCTTTTTATAGCGCAATGCTATTTTTCATCATAATATATTACCTCTCTGTAGGCCTGGTGGCTGGTACAGAACTTTCTACAAGATCATGCCTTTCTATTGGTGAATTTTCCAATGTATAATCAACTGGATACCTTTCTGTATATGTTGGAGTAGCTTCTCCTTGTTGAGTTAATTTTAATTCATCAGATTGTTCTTGATAAAAACTTTGCGATGCCTCAATATTTTGTGAGGAAGATTGCTCTGATTTTTCTATATCATCTGCAGAGTAGTAACTTTGACTTGCTTCACTTTCTGGTCTATGATCATAATAACTGGGAGAGACATTATGACTGGAATAACTTGGTGTGGCTTCTTCTGGGTTAAAATAACTTTGACTTGCTTCTTGTGGATTACCATCATAATAACTGGGAGTAACTTCTTCTTGTGGATCTCCATCCAATCTGGAATTTGTTTCTTGCCCTACAGATTCATAATAACTTGCTGTTACTTCTTGGTGATGAGTATAATAACTAGAAGGTTCATTTCTGTGATCTGTACTTTCTGCAACAAAATTCTGAGAGGGGGTTTCTTCTAGGCCAGGCATAGAGATTGGTACTTCATAAGAAGTTGATACATTTTGTTCTTCATAACTAGAAGTTGGGACAGAGTCCACATGAGTTGATGTAATGTCTGGATTCAAATTATATGAAGATGTAGGTATTTCAGGTACTCCATTGTCATGGATACTTGTATGCTCTGCACTAGATGATGCAATATTTAATTCAGCACATGGAGGAATTTCACAAGATGATGTACTTATTGCACTTTCCTGATCTGGATCTCTTTCTTGATTCTCGGGAGTTTCTGGAACATAAGACGAACTTGCAGTTTCGTCTTCATTAAGTCCAGAATTATTTGTAGAAACTGAAGATGTACCAATACCATCGGTACCAATATCATTTGATTGAGATGGCATGTTTCCTTCCTGACTAATTTCTGCATCAGTTTCTAAATTTTCTGGAATATTTTCTGTTTTCTCGACTTCATAGCTCTGTGTCGGAAACGTTTGATCGTCAATCGCATCATCAATAGTTGATCTTTCTTCTTGACTTTGCATTAATTCATTGAAAGATTGAGTAGGTGCATTTGTACTTGCTTCTGCAGATGCTTCATATGACTGAGAAGCTTCATTCATTTTCGAATGTTCAAATGATTGTGTTGGTGGTTCTGTTACAACAGCTTCTTCGTCTGTCTCCATAGGTTCATATGTTATTGATTGTGAGGGTTCTCTTGAATTTTCAGACTTTGTAGCAGACTGACTAGGTAAATCAGTAGAATCAGTAGTCATTGCTATTCCAAATTGTTCATAAGATTGTGATGGCGCTTCATGACTAGCCTCTGCATTTCCTTCTTCAAAATGTAACTCTAGATTTCTTTGAACCAGATTTGATTCACCTTGAGATGATGGTTCATCTCTCTGAGAGTCTTCTGATTCTTTTACCGTACTTGCGGCATAAATTTTAGATTCTATAGCTTCATCTATATCCATACTTTGTTCATCCAGACGATTTAATGATTCTGCAGGTAAAATTTGTGCTCCTTCTTGAACGACTTCTACTTCATTGGATGTTGCTGCTTGTTCTTCACATATAGGAGAGTGAACTTTATTATCAGATTGTTCACCAAAATTTAATTCTTTAAATTTGTTTATATTTTGTGATTCTTGTGAACTATTTGTATCTATTTCATTTGATTCCGAAACTTCAAAACTCGCGTGTTCTCTAGGCGAAATTTGTAAATTGGATTCAGAGGAAACTAAAGTATTTTCATCCATTATTGACATACTACTTGTCATTGCATCATCTGCTTGTTCCACAATTTGCACATGTACTATATTATCATTATTACTAACTTCTTCACTTTGGCTACCAATTGCCATATTTGAATCATTATCGTCTTTAGTCACTGTTTCTTTTAAGATTACTTCCTGTGACTTCATGGAAATATCTTGAGAAGAATATACTTCTTGTAAAGGTATTGTATCCTGCTCCTCATTTAAAATAGATGATTCATTTGTTGATACAATAGGTTCCTGAGAAGATGCAGAAACATCATGTGATACTATAATTTCTGATGTTACAGCAATATTTTGTGATTGTACATTTTTTGTGGAAATAGGAGATTTTGAAACAAGCATCTCAGAAACAGGTACATCTACAAAAGTCTGTTCTGTTGCCATTGATGATTCTATAGCTGAAGTAAATTGCACATTTTCAGCATAGGTATCATCTATTATTGGCATTGAAGGAGTAGTCTGAACTTGTGAACTTTCTAAAACTATGTTATTTGGTATTGAAACTGAATATGAAACACTAGGCATTGAAATAGTACTACTCTGTCCATTTGAAGTTTCTACAGTAATATTATCTTCTAAATTTGGTAATACTAGATATTGAGTACTTGCAGGAATTTCCGTTCGAGCGATTTCCGCAGTACTTGGATTTTCCATAATTTCTCCAATATCTGGCATAGAATTACCAGGGATTTGAATTTGTGCTTCTGTTGATATATATGAAATATTAGGGTTTGTAATCGTTATTGGTAATTCGAGAGAAGACGGGATGGTTGCCACAGCAGAAGTTGGAGTCGATTCTGATTGTATTGGTAAATTACTGGGAACCTCTAATGGCGTCATTATTGGTTGATTTAAAGTCAATGAGGTTTCAAGCACAGAGGGAGAAGATATTGGTTCTGTAGGAGGTATGATAGTTGACTGCAAGATAGTTTGGTTGATTAAACTTGTTTGAGTTAAACCAGTAGACATTACATTTCCTGTAGGATTCTCTGTTAAACTGATTTCTTGTTGAAAATCTGTATTTGCCAAAGCAGCAGCTAAAATATCTTGATTTGATGTCTGTATTACTTCTGAATTAGAAAAACTTTCTGATATAATTGTTTGAGTAGATTCTGTAGCACTGGTTTGTATATTTGGTAATACACCATTATCAAATTGAAGAACAATATTGTCTAATGTGCCTGCTTCTCCTAATGAACTTGGATCTATATATAGTGTTCTTGTACCATCTGGATTTTGTGTAGTACCTTCTAATGACATAAGAGTATTATTATCAAGAGGTTGTATTTGTCCTTGTTCATCAATAGTTACTAAAACATAAGTTTGGGTTCCATCGCTACTTTCTGTTGGCAAAGCCATTATTTGTGGTTGTGTTGTTATTTTTGGTTCTTCTATTTTTTCTATTTCACCGCTTTTCTCGACATTAAACTTTTCTACTTTAGGTTGTTCCTTCTGAACAGATTCAACAAGTATATTTTCTATTTTTGGCTTCCTTTCAGATTCAATGGGTTCTAATGGTGGAAGAGACAGAGATGTAGAAAGATTTGTATTCATATTAGTCGCAGTTACAGAATTCATTGCAATATTTAGTAAATTCTTTTGCTGTTGTGTAGTAGTCTTATTTATCCCTTGATTTTTTGCAGTAACCTTTGTAGTTGCAGTACTACTAGCTGTCTGTTTTTGCTGAATTGTTGTTTTAGATATATTTGGCACAGTATTCAATGATGAAACCGTTTGTTTTGATTGTATATTTTGTACAGTTGTAATTACAGGTTCCTGTACTTTCTGAACAACAATTTTTTGTTGTGTTTTTGGTTGCCGGCTACCACGAGGTATAATAACCTTTTGTATAGATGATGTAGATACTGCCTTTCCTTTCTGTTGAATTTGTGGATTTATACCTATTGTCTGCTGGTTGCCACCTTGATGTGTAATATTCTGAATAGCAGAACCCTGCTGAA